GGGGGGAGGGAGTGGAGGAGGGAAGAAAGACAAGCTCAATGGGATTTCAACACATCACAGATGCCACCAGCCTCAGCTACAGAGGCTAAGTTTCCTGCCCAGGAGAGGGGGCTGAGGTGACAACCAGCCTGGGCGTAGCTGCCTGCAAAGAGACTGTCTAGTGAGGAGACCGTGCCCACAGTTCAAAGTGCTGAATCCCCCACCAGCAGGGAAGGTGGTCATGTTCATCTCTGTAGTGACTGGTGCATACCTGCCACAAACACCTCAAGGGGAAAAGAAGCTAAGAGGACAATCTCCCCGAGGAGCAAGAACACAGCCCTAGAACGTGTCTGGGTATAAGACAGATATATTAATTAGCCGTCATGTTAGCCAGAAATGTGAAGGAAAGACATTCCTCAGGAAAGCCTTGCAGCTGAATAATCGGGTCAACCTGCCCATTGCTGGGGAGTTGGATAAAACTGGGGGAATTTCAGGGAACTGCTAGTGTGGACAGGTTCATCCTCCCAGCTGGCTGAGGTACCCACGGTCACAAATCTGTGGCCACTAAAACCAAGGAGGACATGTGAATGGGTCTTTTTGAGGACCATAAAAAACCGCATACATGGAATTCCACAAGTCTGTAAAGCTGGATTGACTTTCCTTACAACAGTGACACTAAAAAGCTGACTAAAATACGACAGAAGGCAGGAAAGGCATTCCCAGTGCAAAGAGCAGCCTCGTAGCAGGTTAATTCCAAGAAGCTGTAGCATCTTCTACCTTTCATCTCTCTCTGCAATTCCACACTGATCATTACAGAGTCTAGGCCACCATCCCATATAAAAGAACCAGAGTTTCCCCCTAAAAGACTCATGGATGTCCTAAAAGGGTTTATTTTGAGACCCTGGTTAAAATCATGGCAACACATCACTAATTGCATGACAGGAAGTGACTATTTAACTGGTTTCTGCAAGCTTGCCACCCATTGCAAAGAAGCTAGTTTCCACAGTCATTAGATAATGCAGCTTCTCTTCTGCCGTCACATAATGTGGAGTCAGGAGTCCTGCTGCCAAAGTCCTGCTACCACCTCTTCCATTGAGTTTCTCTGTGACCCTAGGCAAGTCAGATGACCTTTGCCTCAGTGGCTCCATCTATAAAATGGAAATTATAGCTGCCAAGCCCAAAGGTATCACAGGAGTTAATGTCTGTAAAGGCCATAAGGAGGCTCAAAAGAAAAATGCTGGTAATACTAAGTACTCACTCGTGCTCAGAATGTCCTGGTGTGAAATTAGGTCGTTCAATGTCTGAGGGCGATATTTTTCCACCCTAAAGATAAAGGTATTTTAACATAAATGCAGATGATGAGCAGAGATTTCAGGCTTTTCACAAGTGTAGAAAACAGGTGTCCCAGACATGAGATTTTTCTGTTCTCTTCCCCATGCTGGACAATCACCCACAAGGCTGGATAAACACTCACCTTCAATCTACTCTGGATTTGGCTGACATCAGAACCTAGCCTTGTGGTTCTGGTTGCAAGTCAAAGGGATCTGTTTGACCCTTAAGATGACAAAAAAACCCTCACAAAATGAGCTGAACTTGTAATTTTTCTGCACAAACTTAGGTTCCGGCATTGCCAAATCCAAGCCCTGGCTGAATCCTAGCACAGAGAACCCAATCCAGGCACCTGCAGTTCCCTTTTGGAGACTAAGTTCCCTTTTGGAGACTAGCCTGCTCTTTTGGCATCGGCAATATCTTTAAATGCCCCAAAGATTTGTCATGCCTTATACAATTAGAAAAACTCTGCCCTTAGGAACTAGATCCAACTCCATGCTTCTAACCGCAAAATACTCTGCAAGTCCTAGGTCTTCACACTGGCATTTACAAGGGTTAATCTGGGGATTGATTGCGGGTGGTGGGCAGAGAAGCTGGAGTCAACTGAGTTGGGAATTGCAAATGATCCCACTAGAACAGAGCAGCTGAGGTGCGCTCTCGTGGCTGAGTACAGGACTGGCTGGGCACCATGTTTTATTAAACAGATGTTCTGTGTTGAGTGTAAAGCAAGCCAGGCTCAGTGAACACTGAGCCATCACAGCAGGGTAGCCTTATTTCTATTAATCCCTAGGGAACAGCTGACTTTGGACAAATTGCCCCACATACAGGGATCCACCTCCCAGGAGGAACATGGCATTTGAAGTCATAAAAGACTTGGTTGTTGATTTACTCAGGGGAGATGGATGGCAGGGGAGGGCACACCAGATCAGACCAGGTGAGAAACAAACTAGCATGAACCAATTTACACCAACTCAGAATCTGAAGCCAGCCCTTCCTTCCCCAACATCTCTTCTTCTCACTTCAGGAAGGAGTGGCTTCCCCAGATCTGCAAAGGGGAGGAGAGGCAGACCCTTCCTAAGGCTGCAAGACATAGGGAACTATTTTTGACAAAAGCGGGCCATATCCTACTTCCTACCCCGTACCAGCACTGGTGAGAGGACAGTCCGGGGCAATTTGCATAACCCTTTGGCATGGAGTTATTTTGACTTTAGGAACGGCTGTTACTGCTATCCTAGGCCTCTCCTACAACCTGAACTTTACCGAGCTTCATCCCTTGCAATGAATACTCCATTGCAGCACATCTGCCTGCAGCCTGTAACTACGAGACACAAGGGGAGGGAGGGCAAGCAAGAGTTGCAAACAGGAAGGGAGAACCTAGGGCTGTATAGCCTGAGCTGTGCCCTCCATGCAGTCAGGGCAGGGGGGCGGGGATGCAACAGTGGGGGCTGGATTCGCGGATCCCAGCTCCCCTGCACACCCCATGCCAGCTCTTGCATGCAACAGTGGGGGCTGGATTCGCGGATCCCAGCTCCCCTGCACACCCCATGCCAGCTCTTGCATGCAACAGTGGGGGCTGGATTCGCGGATCCCAGCTCCCCTGCACACCCCATGCCAGCTCTTGCATGCAACAGTGGGGGCTGGATTCGCGGATCCCAGCTCCCCTGCACACCCCATGCCAGCTCTTGCATGCAACAGTGGGGGCTGGATTCGCGGATCCCAGCTCCCCTGCACACCCCATGCCAGCTCTTGCATGCAACAGTGGGGGCTGGATTCGCGGATCCCAGCTCCCCTGCACACCCCATGCCAGCTCTTGCATGCAACAGTGGGGGCTGGATTCGCGGATCCCAGCTCCCCTGCACACCCCATGCCAGCTCTTGCATGCAACAGTGGGGGCTGGATTCGCGGATCCCAGCTCCCCTGCACACCCCATGCCAGCTCTTGCATGCAACAGTGGGGGCTGGATTCGCGGATCCCAGCTCCCCTGCACACCCCATGCCAGCTCTTGCATGCAACAGTGGGGGCTGGATTCGCGGATCCCAGCTCCCCTGCACACCCCATGCCAGCTCTTGCATGCAACAGTGGGGGCTGGATTCGCGGATCCCAGCTCCCCTGCACACCCCATGCCAGCTCTTGCATGCAACAGTGGGGGCTGGATTCGCGGATCCCAGCTCCCCTGCACACCCCATGCCAGCTCTTGCATGCAACAGTGGGGGCTGGATTCGCGGATCCCAGCTCCCCTGCACACCCCATGCCAGCTCTTGCATGCAACAGTGGGGGCTGGATTCGCGGATCCCAGCTCCCCTGCACACCCCATGCCAGCTCTTGCATGCAACAGTGGGGGCTGGATTCGCGGATCCCAGCTCCCCTGCACACCCCATTTCTGCAGCTTTCCTCTGCAACCATAGGTGGAGGAGCTTGCTTGTTTGGTTAATAATAATAATAATAAAAAAAAATGAGAGTCGCCTGAATCCTGGAGGTGGGGCTTGAAGGAACACAAAACCTGACAAAATCACCATCCTTAGGCATATGCTGAATCCTCAGCACTGTAGGGCAGGAAGCCCCACTTTTAGTGCCTGCTATGTACACCTAGGGCAGTGGTTTTCAAACCTCACATGTTTCTACGCAAACCTTTCCCTGGACCACCAGTTGCTAATGGAAACTCGCCATTAATTACATAATTATGCCTGAGTCATTTTGCTAGTGCTGGAGGTAGGGAGAATGGTTTGATTTAACCTTAACCAGTAAGAAAGGAAATGTTAAATTATTAAAGAGTTTTAATTAAATGTTTTAATTTTCTTATGTTAGTTTATTAAACTTCATTTTAAATAAATTACAGAATTACTTTATAAAGGAAAAACAACCTTGTGATACCATCTACATCAATGGTCACCAACCAGTAGATCAGGATCTACTGGTAGAGCTTGGAGCCTCTGACAGGTGATCCTGACTGGTTTGGCCAGGAAGCTATCAAGCACTGTCACTCCAGTTACTCCTCCACCCACACTTATGCTGCTCCTGCCGGCTGCCTTGGAGCTGTCCCCCTGGGAGCCTCTTTCTTGCTGTGCAGGATGTGGGAGGGAGAGGATGGGGGGTGCTGATGTCAGAGTGTCCCTCCTCCCCCCACTCCTGTACCCTGTCTCCACACAGAGAGAAGGGGATGGCGGGAGCTTGGCAGTGCAAATCTCTGTCACTCTCACACAATGTGTGTCTCTATCATTCTCACAAACACATACTGCCCTTCACTCACATCTCCCAACCTAACAGAAATGTGGGTTGTTGTTACTTCTGTTACTCTTTGTGAAGTGTTTTATTTTTGGTTTCTGACTAGTCTGTTCATTTCATAATTTTCATTTCTCTCTTATGCTTAAATGTATTTCTTTGAGGAGTGAGTTCTAAAATGCTTAACCTGTCATGGCTGGAGTAATTACCCCTGTGGGAATTGCTGCTCCTGGAAGTGGCTGGCATGTCCATGCAGCTCCTGAGAAAGGGAGAGCAGGGGGTCTCCACATGCTGTCCTTGCCTGCAGACACCACTCCTGCAGCTCCCATTGATCAGTAATGGGGAACTGTGGCCAGTAGAAGCCGTGGGCTCAGTGCCTGTGATGAGGGGCAGCATGGAGCCATTGCTGTACATGCCAGCTGCTTTCAGGAGTGGTGCAGGGCCAGGACTGGAGTAAGACTGCCTTAACTCCACTGCAGGGGCGGCCCTAGACTAGCTGCAAGCAACTGGCGCCCTAGGCGAACCATGCAATCAGCGCCCCCACCTCCAAACCCCTCAATGATATTGTGCCATCATTTGGTGCCCCATTTAACTTGGTGCCCTAGGAGACCACCTAGTTCGCCTATATGGACCGGTTGCCCTGCCCCACTGTTCCACCACCCGGAAGCTGTCTCAATTAAACGGTGCCCAGCCAGAGCCTGCTTCCTGAAACCCTGTCCCAGCCCAGAGCTTGCACCTTGAAACCCCTCCTGGACCTCAATCCCCCACCCTGGGCTAAGCCCGAAGCCCCTCCCACACTCCAAATCCCTTAGCCAAAGACCAGAACCTTCACCCCAACCCCTGACCCCAGCCCGGTGAAAAAGAGTGAGAATGTGGGAGGAAGGGGGATGGAGTGAGCAGGGTGAGGGTGAGGCCTCGGAGAAGGGGTGAAGAAGGGGTAGGGCCTCAAAGAAGGGGCTGGAAGAAAACGGGGCAAGGTTATTTGGGTTTGAGGTAGATTTTACATGGCACTTAAATTAAAAAAGTGATCTTGTGGTTAAAAAGGTTGGAGACCCCTGATCTACATGTTTTGTTAGTCTATAAAGTGCTACTAGACTACTTGTTGTTTTTAAAGTTTTTCCTGTTACAGACTACTTGGCTACCCCTCTGAAGTATTACTTTATGTTCAACACAAAAGGTTTCAATGTTTTGGCAGGGGTGAGGAACTGTTTTTGGCTCAGAGGCCTCTAACCCACAGAAAAATCAGTTGGAGACCACACAAGTGAAAAGCAAAACAAATCCATCCAAAACCCCCCAGCCCTCACTGATGTGGCCCCCAACTGGGACACCTCACTCCTGTGGGGTTTCAGCCCCATGGGGTCAAGGAGAGGGACAGGGAAGACTGCAGTTCAGGGATTACCATGGGCTGGGCGTCTGGCCAGGAGGAAGGTTGCAGGAGCAAGAGAGGGTGCTTGAGCGGGTTGAGGGTGTCTGGCCAGGGGTAGAGTGCAAGAGCAAGGGAGCATGCAGGAGTAGGGTGGGGGAGAAGGGTGTCTAACCAGGGGAGAGGGTGCAGGAGAAGGCTGGTGGTCGGGTGTCTGGCCAGGGAGAAGGGTGCAGGAGTGGCCTGGTAATACGGGGTCTCAGTGGGGAGCGGTGCAGAAGCAGGGTGAGAATGCAGGATCTGGGCATGAGGGGAAGAAAGAGCACTTGTTTGCTTTTGTGCGCCATGCTGCTCCCAGTCAATCCGGCCAATTGGAGCAGCAGAGAAAGCCTGCAGGCAGAGGGGCTGTGCACTGCTGTTTCCCCAGCTGAAGAAGTGGGAGGGA